CCCCAAAACCCCAAAACCCCATTATGCTAGAATTGGCAATTATTAATGCATTTAAGATAATACTAGAATAAATAATTTGAATTTAAAATTATGAAAAGTAATCTTTCTCAGTTTGGCGGTCCTACTTCACTCCCATCCTAATCAACCATGCAACTTCATTCATAGATAGGAATCAACAACAACGGCTTAAATGGTCAGGGACAACATCCCAAATTCTTCGCCAAAGTAGGTGATCCAGCTCTTAAGAGGTCATTCAAAGGTCATAAAGATGGTATTACAGCAATTGCATTCAATCCCAATTTGAAATAAGTAATCTCCTCATCTCTTGATGGTACTCTAATGGTCTGGAATTTCAAGCCAAGTTTGAGGCCATACAGATTCATTGGACATAAAGGCCAAGTGCATGACTTAAGTGTCACTCCAGACGGTCAAACAATCGCTTCATGCTCTTAAGATGAAACAGTGAGAATCTGGACTAATTCAGTTCAAGGGCATTCTCAAGTTATCAAATCACACTCAGCTCCAGTAAGAAGTGTGGCTCTTTCAAGCGATGGGCATCTTTTGCTATCAGGTTCAGACGATAAGACTTTAAAAGTTTTTACAACCAATGACAGAAAGTTCATGTTTACAATCAATGCTCATGCAAACTGGATCAGATCTTGCCAATTTTCTCCTGATACTAGACTGATTGGTTCTGGTTCTGACGATAAATCTGTAAGACTTTGGGATGTTACATAGAAATCGTTAATTAAGAGTTTCGAAGATCATGAAGGTGCAGTTACAAGCGTCAGATTCCATCCAGATGGTACTTGCATTGCCAGTGGAAGTGTTGATAAGTCTATTAAAATCTGGGATATTAGAAGTTAAAGACTTCTCCAACATTACGATGCTCATACAGATAGAGTCAATGCAGTTGCATTCCATCCTAATGGAAGATTCTTACTATCTGCCAGCAATGATGCTACTCTAAAGATTTGGGATTTGAGATAAGGTCACATTTTATATACTCTTTATGGGCATGAAGGTGCTAGCAATTGTGTTAACTTTTCGCCTTGCGGAGATTACTTCACCAGTGCTGGTGCAGATTAAATAGTTATGGTTTGGAAAAGTAATTTGAATGACACAGAGTAGGAAGTTATCGAAGAATTAGGTGGTGCATCATCTGCTGGTGCTCATAACTAAAGTACTAATGGACCCCAGCACCATGCCAGTGGGATTTAATCAAATAGAAAGAGTGTAGATATGTCTAGCAGATAGAATCCATCCTCAAGATATGGCAATCTGACGAAGTAAGCTCCAAGATAAGAACAAACTTAGCAATACTAGCTACCAACTTCAAATAGAAACCCAACTAGCGGATATGGATTGAACGAATTCTCTCACAGACCAATGACTACAACCGGAGTTATTGTTCCACCCGATCAAGATCTGAATGCTTTTGAATAATAAAATCATCATTTATCTGGAAGCAGTGAAGAACTTGCTCAAACCTTAGAAAAAGTTGTATCTCAACTAGACATAATCTCAAGAACCCTTCATGTCCTGGAGCAAAGAGTATCTATGAACGAGGAATCTGTTTAGAATGTGTGGGAGTACTTCAAGGAAATCAGAGATATGCAAAAAGCAGCTCCTCTGCAATAAACTAACCACACTTAATCTAACCCAGGATTTGCAATGAGCCTCGGGCCATCAGGTATGCAACAGACATATAACACTTAGTAATTCGGATATCAGTAAACAGCCTCTTAAAAGCTTGACTTTAATGATGTCAAGCAATAGCAACTATTGCAGTAACAATAATACGACGAGATAAATGAAAGAGAGGGAGATGAAAACCAGAATTTCAACAACTGAGACACATATTATAAGATTTTGAGCGACTTAATTGAAATAGATTAAATTCTTATGATTTTAATATCTGTCTACATTTCAAGCTCTATGGGGTTTTGGGGTTTTGGGGGGTTTTGGGG